TATATGTTGGGTGGGACAGTCCTCCCCTGGTTGTTCATCGTGCCAAAGTCAATCTAAGCTTTAAGCATACATCTATTATGTTTTTTAAGAAAAAGTTACGCCTTCCCTTGACAACTTGGAGGAACTTATTTTATTCTTTTTGATAACCCAGCATTGTTGACTATACAAACAAAACAGAGATCATTTAATCAGCGATTTTAAATTATCTATTTTAGGGAGAGTGATTGCATTGATGATGTAGCAATGATCTCTAGCTGGATTACATTCACTCTGATACTATATGAATACAAACTGGTAACTGCAGCAGATAGAAAAATTGCAAAACTATAATCACTTAATGAAAAGGACAAGGAGCTAGTACTATAGCAGGGAGATCAAACCAAGCAAGAAAGAAATAATGGCAACGAGAAGTTTACAAAATGGATTCAACCTTCTTGCGAATGTATCCTGGTCCAGAATGCTCAATTTCATATGCTTCTTTCACATCATCTTTGATACTCTTGATCCATGATACAGAAGTCAGAAGACATCATCAATCATGCAACTTTTCTTTTCGATTTTTCAACCAGAAAGAAGTCTGACTTATGCTTTGGGATTTTGGAGGTTCAAAGTAAAAAATGGAAGCAGGACCCGGTTTTTATTTTGTTCCTTTATCCAAATGGATTTGCTCCCATCTTAGGAAAAGAGAGTGGAGAACTAGATGCTGAGTGTCCACCTGTAGGTTCCTGAGTTGTACATACAGAGCCCCAACTAAATTCATCACTGCCAAAGCCACCAATTACTTGTGATCTACAATGACAATCCCAAATCTTAACATCATTTCATTTTGACAGAGAAAATCAAATCACAAGTAGCCAGAAAAGTTCATAACACGCAGAGAGAAGACAGGGTGGTCGAGAGAGAGGGAAAGGGCAAGAGACTGATTCCAAAAGTTATTAACTTAAAAACTCTATTGATGACATTTAGAACAAAAGCATTTTTGTAAGCTTAGATAACATGCATGCTACCTAGAGGAAAACACCAGTTAGATGTCAGCAAAGCTTTTGTCCTAGATATCCAGTTACGTGAAAGTATCATCCAACTTTAAGAGCTTACCAATATTTATTTACAGTGGCATACTTTTAACTTCTGTCTTGCTATCATGTTATACATGCATATAATATAAGCCAGCTAGAATGAAATGTCACCTGGAAGGTGGCACACCGATGTGTGATTGATCTCCCATGTATGCATCTAAAGATCATAAATTCATCATAAGCATAACGAAACCATATTGAGATGAAAATTTAGCAGAATTCCAAGAGAAGTAACTCAATTTACCAGAAGGCATAGCTGATGTGAAAGGTGACTCCGGAGTCATCAAAGATGCAAGATATGATGAATGAGATGCCATTCCTGAAGAATGGGCATCAAAACCGGTTGTATCTGGCAAGCCAGTAGGAACTTGAACACTAGGGAGGGCTCCTGGCAAATATGCCATTGAAGGAAACTACAGCACAAATAACAATTAAAAATGTACATTTGAAGGTTAGAGCAACAGCACTCAGATACAAAAAAAAACTTTTAAAACTTTTGGAGAAATCGAAGCTATGTCATTGTATCAAAACAAGAATAAGAACTCTTGAAACCTTCAATCAAAAAGCTTTTATTATATAAAACTATTGTTTTCATAAAATGATGATGATCAACTGAATAGATAACAATTCATTAAGGGAACTAAAAGTACAGAAAGTGGAGCAGAGGCAACTTTTACTTTTAAAAAATGAATTAAGAGTTAAAAAAGCAGTGATTAAGGTGTGCAATGAGTTTGTATGTGTGGTGCCTACTGATGGGGCTTGCTCTGGTGTCGTGTCACTGTTAAGATCAAATGGATTTGCCTTTGCAGTGCTTGGAAATGCTGCTGCATGCTGTAAACATATACATACAGTTTAACATCTCCAAAAAAGAGCAAGAATTAACAGAGTAATTACAGAACTCGAATTCTTAGAGATACCACTGCATCAGGATAATACTGCATGCCAAATCCCGTTCCATGTTGTAGACCATATTGCCAACCTGGAACTGCTGCAGCGGCTGATGCATAGCTTGTACTAAAGAGGTCCTGCAAAGACGGTAGCACATACTGTTAAGGGAATTCAAAAATATCTGAGACAATGTAAGACAAAACCAGCACCTCCGGAAGTTCCTTTCTTCCACTAGACTTTGTTTCTGCAGAAAGAGACTGTGCTCCATCTTTGTAACTTGTTTCTTCAGCTGATTTTGAGGGGGCTTGAAATGATTGTTCAATTGATACATTGGAAGATTGTTGTGCATTAAGCATGAGCAATGAAGTACCAAGCTGCAAATATGCACACCAAGCAACAGGGTTAGCAACTGGAATGGAGTTCACAACATATTTTAATAAAAAATACAAGGTATATTCTTCATGTTTATTTAGTTTCCACCAACTTCTAATCAACTCCAATGATAACCTGGCTATGTGATGCTTCAACTGTTGTATTACTTTGTTGTGAAGTAAAGCAATTATCAGAAACAGAGAACATAAAAAACTGATGTTTTTGCTGCCCCTCAGGAGCTCTGACTCTGTAGTCACCATTAATGTGAGTTGTGGCTTGAAGAGGGCCTGCATTGGACGGTTTTTGTAGGACATTTATAACTGGTGGCATTGTTGAAGAGCCAATACTTGTCAATGCCAAAATCTGTTCTGCAGGTGCTGCTGGAGAAACACTGTCCACAGAAATGTTCTGTCCAGATGCAGTAGATGGAGCTTCTGTGGTACCTGGCACAGCGGAGACATTATCAACAGGTTCCACAGATGGAGTTGACAGATCAAACAGTAAAAATTCCAGAGAATTTGCACTGGAGGCAGGAGGTGCTTTGTCCTTTGAAGAGAGTTCATCTGAGGACTGGTCACCAGCGTCTCTTGATGGAGGGATTTGCTGCGTATCTGGTGCTGCCACAGCATTGGAGGGCTCAGAATCCATACCGAAATCAATCAAACTTTCCATGCCACCAGATGATGCAATCTTCTGCAAGGTAACAAAATAACAGGTTCATTGCAAAGAATGTTCAAAGCAGCTACATGAAATAGAGTACGATAGGCTGCCAAATTATTAAAAGCCTTTAACAAAATTCAAACTGCAAAACTACAAATAAGAAGTCATCCACAGCTTCTCACGGGCACCATTTAAAATTTTACTCTATGAAACCAGTTCATTCACTAATCTATTTATATAAGCATCCATATACTATATAAATAAAATCCTACGCAGAGTTTCATATCTAAATTACATTCATCCCTTTGAAGAGAAAGATAAGACACTCTGATGATTAAGGTAAAAGTACCAAGGGTCTGCCATAGTTTCTAATTAGTCACACTGCCTTCTGCAAATTCACATGGTGCACTTGCTAGTTCTGAACTTCTGAATGATCGTTGTACGTGGTTTAAGTGAAAGAAAACTATAATGTTTCTTGAAAACAAAATAAAATAATAATAAACGACAAGCCTCTAAGGGAACACCATTAGCAAGTCATATTAAAATAGAAAGGAAATACCAAGTTAGCAACAACGTCACCTGGTTTATAGCGGAACCATCAGGATCCTTCCCAGCATTTGCTTTTGAATGTTCAACCACGTGTAGGGTAGGAGCACTTTCCCCCAAAATATCTCTAACTGGGCGCACCACTGGAGAAACGGACCTGCCCATGTTCTTTTGATGGTCGGATGACCCGCTTCGGGCCACAGGTTCTCTATGTGAAAAGCTGTGCTTATTTTGTCGCCTGGCACTTCCACAACCATCTGATCGGAGCCTGTTATCAACAATCTCGATACACAGAGGGTTTCTACGGAAACCTCCATATCTTGAATTTTCTTGGGCAAATCGAGGACTACTTCTCTCAGTATAGTAACCCCTAACAGCATCACTTCTTCCAGCAGGACTAGATCCCTCATTAGAACTCCACTCATGTGAATCTTCATAAAGTGGACTTTTGGATATACCACTAAATACACTGAACTTCCTGCTTTCAGAGGAACCCGCCCTGTGCCCCTATACAATATGTACAAGAATCTATAAAAACAATGGAGTGGCATTTGACTGTGGAGCACCCAAAAATGTGTTTGACCATTCCAGAAGTAAAAATTAATGTGTCCCAAACTTGTCGCTCTAACCACTTCTAAAATTATAAGATGGTGAATATTGGCAAAAAGAGTAGATAGAAGTAATGATAAACATACTAAAAAAGCATTACCAATCTCAGACTCGGAAGCCTGTCAGGCCTCTCCCCAGTGTATTTCCTCTCCAGGTAGACATGCTTGATGAAATCTCGGAGTCGATGAAGATTACTGAAAGCAAACATAAGAGAATCGGGACACATTCCCAATGGGGCATCAAAAACATAAAAAATGAAACATGCTTGGTAACCTGCCATCAGGTAAAGAATTACGTTGAGGATCCCATGCTTTGAAATAAATTTGTCTTGCCCGCTGCAAAAAATGGGAAATAAGTTAGGCAATGAAAACATAAAGAAATGTGGCCATATCACCCACTGACTACTCATACAGACCTCATTTCCTGCTGCTTGAAGAGCATTCACTTCTTCTTCACTAAATTTAGCCATTGATACCGATTTAACCCTATGAGTGAATTCCCTACTGAAATATGAAGATCCATGGACCAGGTAATACATAAATGAACTGAACTAGGCAGTTGTTTTCAATCCCTTTAGAACTTCTTTCTTGTTAGGGAGAAGATAATTAGAAGTATGAAAATTTTAATTAAGAAACTCAAGATAGGGCTAACACTTACTGTATTCCACTACAGGTGGTGCAAACAAAAGTCCAGAAAGTGGTACAAACATATTGGGGACCCTGCCGAGAATAAAGAATGTTAAGACTTGACTTTGATACCCATTGAAAGGCACTTCTGATAAGCAGTGAAATCCCTCATGTTCTATACATATAACCATCAACAAGAAATTTTAGGGAAAATTAGAACCATGGAAACCTCTGATACTTTTGATGATTTCATACATAAAAACCATGAAACTTGAAAACTAGACGTATACAATATACAAGTTAAGAAGAGAAAACCATACCAAAAGATTGCAATTGATGCATCTTTTATTCTCGGGAAGTTTGAGAAGAGCCCGAATCGTCCTCTCGGTTTTATCATCTTCCTTTATCTTCTTATTCCCCATTTTCTCAAAAAAAAAAAAAAAGAAAGAAGAAGAAGAAAATTTACCCCTGTTTCATCCAAAAAGAATCAGAATCCCGATACCCAAATAATCAATCGTTTTGATAGAAATGAACGTAATGCTCAGTTCAAGCTTGTTACATCCATTTGGGGAACTAATGAAACAAAATCAAAGGATTATTTAAATTTTATCATAAAAAATGAAGAAAAAGAGAAACTTTTCTCTTCTTTTATATTTCCGAACTTTCTCAGGAAACAAACAAGTAGGGATAAATGAATATTTATTTGAACCTTAATTACTAGCGAGAGAAAGAGAAATGAAAAGGAGAAGCTTGATTTATTGCAGAAAGTCAGAAAGAAGAAAGAAAGAGAGAGAAATTTGCCGGGAAAAACGGTTGGATGACCGTTATGAGCCGTTGAACGTTGGTCATGATAGATTCCACTTTACTATTTTTTTTTCTTTTCAGAAGTTTTTCATTTAAATCTTTGTTACTTTCTAATTTGCTAGAATGTGTACACTCGTTATCTGCATGCATAAAAGAGAGAACAAAACAAAGTACAAATTTTTTTAAAAATTGTTTAATTTAATATAATATTATAAATAAAATATTTAAATATTTTTAAATTTTAATCAAAATTACATAAAAAATTTATTAATTTGAAAAAAAATAATCTGTCTTAAAAATTTTAACATTGTTAACAAAAAAAATATTTAAAAAATATAAAAAAATTAAAATACTTTTTTCTAATTCTCTCAACTTTTTTTTTGTTTAGATAATTTAATCGGTCGACGACGCTCTCTTACACCGATCGATCATATCCTAGTTGAATTTGACACTTCAACGTCGAGAGGGAGCTCTAGCACCCCCTTTAGAGCACCTTCAACAAGGAGCTCTGTCGCTCCCTTGAGCAAGCGTAAATCTAGCTGGACAAGAAAGGTAGATTTTTTTTTAAGAAAGAAAAAAAATTTTAAATGAAAAATAAAAATTTATATAGTGTTATAATTTTTGACATATTCTAGAGTAAATTTGCTTAAAAAAATTACCACATCGGTAAATTAACATAAACCTCAATGGTTGATTAACAATTGGATTTACGTATCTTACGCTAAACATTCTTTTTGAAGTAAAATGTTTATTTTTCAAATGAGCATACTTTTGAGTAATTTTGATAAATACTTGAAGATGTTTAAATATTTTATCATAATATTATTTATTTTAATTTTTAAATAATTTTGTTAAATTAAAGAATTGACTCTAAACCATAATATAGATAAGAGATAATAAAAATAATTTTCCTTTCAACTTCAAATTATTTCGTAATTTCTAAATTCCATATATTCCTAATATAAACAATACATTGTATTTGAAGAATATAAACAAGTCATCAAACGAGTTATTTTAAAATTTTAGATTAAACTTTTCCCAGAGCCTTTTGACGGTTTAGGTTAAAATATTTGAATATTCAATCCACTCATGTAGCGTTTTTTTTTTTTTTGAAGAAAAAAGAAAAAAGCTTATATAAAATAATAATCCATGAAATTTTGCCCTTCACTTTTTATTTACAACATCAACAAAGAAGCAATTTATTTGATTTAATTAACTTTGTTTAACAAAAAAATATGGTCGAAACTTTTTAATTTATCCATTATAGATGTGGAAAAACTAAAATTTGCAGGATGTTACAAATAATAAAATAATCTCAAGAGGCTGAGTGTCAATCCTCCTTGGCCCAGAAATAGCTAAACATCGAATTTGGGTAGGCAAGAGCGGAGCTGATGGAATCTATGGAGGAAATACATAGTTCGAAAATTTTCCAGACATTAAATAAGTAAAATTATGAAGGATATATTGCTTCTGTCTAGGACATATTGCTGTTATTTCTAGAAGCAATACAGAAAAACAAGGAACAGGCTATACATGAACGCTTCCCAAATCATCCATTGCTTCAGACAAATCAAAATCAATAAGACACATGAATCAATGAGAAGCAACAAAAGATTCTCATCCTCTAATGAATCTCTGTGAAAATTTATAAAGATAATTACTTACAGCATTCTCTATTTCCTCATTTCAGATGTGCGCTTTTTGTTGATACATACCTACGAAATGCTCCAAACATTTCAATCAGACAGGAGATTGTGATTTGATTCAAAGGGGTGCTGTATTATTTGGGCCAACTGCTACTCTGACATCAAGGCTAAGGGGGAAAATCGAACAAAATAAGAGGTAAGGAAAAAAAAATATATCTGTACAAAGATCGGCTGCCAAAATTCCATACACCCCTTACCCGCAGGATCAAACAACAGTTGCACTCAACTGGTAACCTGCTGCTGGGATTAACAAAACCTACTGACCGAAAAAGCTGTGAAGTTGCACAAAAAAACACTGCCACGATATGTAGCAGAAGCAAAGTACTACTCTTACTGCTCACAGCTCTCCTGTTAGAACTTTTACAATGGATCAATCAACAACTCCTGGCCACCATCACCGAGAATGGAAAAACCAGACCCATTCCAGCAAAAACAATGTCAATTCTTTAGGTACTCTTCAATTCCAGAAATGCATGGTGCTGGCTAATTTCGTTCTGTCCACCCTCCATATTTCATCAGGTCATTCTACCCATCACCATTGAAGTCCTCAGAAGATTCTTTGATTGCCTCTGCAGTCATGAGAGCAACCACAGCCTTGTGAATTGCCAGATCTGCTCTGAAAAGCAATCTCTGAGCTCTCTCTCTTTTGACCTTGGCCACATTAAGTGCCTGCTGGGCTGCGCTAGATGCATCACGCAACCTGAACTCATCAATATCAGAATTATCCAACTGTTCGGGGGCATGCCTTTGAAAGCCATCTGAGAACGAATGCCGCTGGCTTTGCCACTCAGAAAAGCCCATGTTCCACTGACGAATTCCATTTCTCTTGCCCATTAGTCTCTGACTATATGAAGCCATCATTTGTGTGTCATTTGATGATAGAAAATTGCCAAATTTCTTTGACTTGCTCCTTTGAAGTTTCTGGTGATATTTCTTATTAAACCCATCACTGCCCATGGAGAAATATCCCATGCTGCCTACATCACGTGGTGAAAATACCCTTGGTGATGCCTGAGACAGTGGCGAATCTTCTAAAGATTCATAGTTATGCACAGGATATAGAACCTTTTCATCCCCAAACAGGAATCCATTTGATCTTCTTCCTGAAATGACAACATATAAAGTAAGACTCACAAAGAAAATTACAAAAAGCCAGATGAAAGTGAAATTGTAAAGAACATTACCAAAGGAATGACAACCCTCATGATCTCCCAACACATGGCTGCTTTGACCAGAAACTGAAATTTTCCGCTGAGATCTTTGTTTTGAGCCTTTGTTTGGCACTTCCAAACCCCGGGGTTTCAAACAGAAAGCAAACATAGGCGGCTTCTCAATGGATGGAACCTTATCTGAGCATCCATTGGGAAGACTAGGGTTAACTTTTGACATAGATAGCTCCCACTCTCTCACTTGCTGTTGATACCGTTCCCACAATGGCGCCTGAATGACACCCAAATATTTGATTATAAGTTGGACACAATAACATGTTTAAGATAAAAACAAACACAAAAACAACAAAAAACTCACACCAGACATGGCAAAATTGCCAGGTAAAATGAGAGCTTTGAGAGACGAATTTGAAAATTTCTGAGGTTCTAAAATCAAGATAGGATATAGAACAGGTCCATCAAAAAGAGAAATCCAGTATAGAGATCATTGGATGGAAACCACAACTCCCATTGACAGGTACCAATCAGACAACCCAACATTTACAATAACAATTAGGTGTAAAAAGAAAAAGAATAAACGCAACAACACCTGAGGACAACTTACTCTTTGTGACAAACACAGAGGAGGAAACCAAATTTCCGGTTTATTACATTAAGAATGATTGGAACTAGACAACAACATATAATTCTACAAAATCTAAATGATATAACGAAGTGTCAGAACTTCAAAATAAAATTATCTTTACCCAGGAACATATTAACAAGAACCCACCATAAATAAAAAAAAAAAAAATTGCAACCCCAAAGTGAAATACATGCATGCATCCAGGTGTGTAATTGTGTTGACAAGGTGCCAAGAGAAACAAGTTTGCTAATACGAAACAGAAGACACATGAAGAACAAGAAAAAGAGCCATACACCTTATGATGTAGGGCCACAAGTGGCTGGGTCTAAGGCAATTCCCTGACCTGATTCTCAAGGAATGCAGAAAGAATTGAATGAAGAAAAGGGGAGAGAAAAGATCCCTAAGCTTCACACCTAAGGTTCCATAGGATTCACACCTAAGGCTGATTGTGTCACACATCAAGAAGAAAGGGAAGATCCGAAGCTTCACAACTAAAACTGTTTAGAAGTCACACCTAAGGTTAAATGCGTAAACCAATCACAAAAGCAATAATGCAGGAGATTCCCTGATAATAATCAATATCTCAATAGAAAGAGTACTTTGATCTATATAGACTCCTAGAATCCCTAATCCTATTGTTACATTTAGGAAGATGAATTCGGGGAGAGTGTATTTGGATTCATTTGTTATATAAATTGTAAGGGTGAAGGCAAACATTATGTAAAAACAACAGAATAACTGAATAATACTTGTAATTGAAGTTTTCATTTTTCTTCAGGTTCATGAGAAGAATTTTTTTTTCTTTGCCTTCACATCACTCGTTTCTCTACAACAAAGTCACTCCTATTCTAAGAAGATGGCAAGTACAAGGGTTCAAGAAGAAACAACATGTAAATAAATCAATAAGTATACAGCAGTAAGACTATGGAATACATCAACAGAACCAAGTACTTCAGTAAATCAAGTGCCCTTGCACCAAAAAGATATTGACAGTTTCAGTCTGCAATCTAAAAGGTACAAATATTATAAACATAAAAATGAAGGAAACAAATCCAAGAAAGACAAGCAAACCAAAAGATACCTGGAGATGCCGAATTAAAGGCATTCCAACTCTCTGCCTCTTCTGTCGCCAATGCTCATAGATGGGTCTGATTACCTTCATGCACCCAACTCCAGCCATGAGCTCTTGTATTTCATCAGAATTAAACCGATCACACTGCTGAGTATAGGCAGCCTTCTCAAAAATGTCCATTGTCTTCTCAAACAATTCATCAGAAAATTCGAATGAGCTGCTGCTAACATCACTTTCTGAAGATCTGCGAATTCTTGAAATCCACTGTTCATCATCACTATCCATGTCATATAAAACACGGGATGGATCCAAAGCCATCTCAACATCTGTTTCAACCTGCCGCAAGTATTTGGAAGAACTGCGAAAAAATGTCACTTCTGCATTTTCATCATATTCCTCTATCAAGCGAACCCCAGGAATAGGAATGTTCTTAACCGAAGCAGCACGAATGTTACGATTGTAGCACTCTTCATGCATCTCCTTAAAAAGAGCCCACTGGCTCCTATCAGTGAACTCCAAGATCCAATCCTTTCCACCTTTCCACATCATAGCATGCGTATAACGATTGGTAGACCCAGGCTGCAGGAACTGATGTGCCTTGTGAGAGTACCTCGTAGACCCTGAAACTTTCACAGCCAGCTTCCATTCATTATGATCAAAAAGCTCTAGCGCAACCTGTGCTCCACATTCTCTCCATCCTCTGTCACCAAGGGTAATTAGTAAATTTGCATCACAAGATAATAACTCCAAGTTTTTTTGGGAACCTCTAGAAACATCAGAAGACCTCTTCTCATTAGCCCTCCTAATTCGCTTGTGAGGAAGACCTCTCTGGTGGTGGCCTTTATTTTTTGAGCTGTAATCTAAACCTCCAAAGGGCATTGAGTATGATACCTGGGTTCGTGGCTTCTTAGGTCCATTTCCAAAATTATTGTGGAAGAAATCAGCCTTTCCTTCTGACCATCCATGGGCATTATAACCAATCGATGAAGAACTACTTCTATTCCGATGCCATGTACTTCTAGGAGCAGTAGGATTAGGACTTGGGATAATGCCACCGTTCATATTCCAAGTCAAATCAGTAGACTGTTGAGAACTGGGTAATTCACCATCAATATGCTTTTCATATTGATCAAAGGATGGGATCTCGACCCTAATACCATTCAAAACGGAATTAGACTCTGCATTGTTCCTATCACCATCAACTAGTGACTTTGATGACAAAACAAGTTGCTCAGACTCTGAATGGGCACATTGTTGCTTCTGTAATGGAACAATAGCCGTGGCTCCAACTTCTTCAGGTTCCTGAGAGCTGGCAGAAGTTCTATCAATAGTTTGATCACCATTTTCATACTTCTGTGAAGACTTTTTCCAATGTTCATCACCACAAACAGAGAGATCAAGAGTTGTTAACTCAGTGTCAGAACCAGCATCCTTTGATGAAGCCTTCAGATTTTTCTCTACACTACTACTGTCAAAACTTTTGTCCACAGAGTCCTCTCTATTAGAACTGTCATCCACCATCAAATTGCCAGAACTTCCTGGTTGCTCAATGGAGTCATGATCCTGAAAGCTGATGTGGGCAACACTATGTTCCATAAGTAGCTTAAGATGCAGACTAAGAAAGAAAGTAGGTGCAGCACCAAAAGAAAGGGCAAACAGAGGAAGATTTCTGTGCTTCTTCTCAGAACTGGAAGTAAATTGGCCACCTTTCAGAAAACTAGGTTCTCTGGAGACACCCATAAGGCTGATACCCTGCCTATACCTTCTCCTCCTTAAACCCTGGTCAATAGCAAGCAAATTTCGTAATCATTAACAACAGCCATCTAACAAAAGAAAGACATTAGATATCCAAGAACAGAGCAATGCCAAAAGCTCTCCAGTATCCATTGCTGATGACAAATGGCCACACAGAACTAAACAACAGCACCAGAAACTAAAACTAAATAGCATCATTTTGGGGCACAAATTTCTTTTTTCCCCTTTTTTTCAGGGGCAATAGCGGTTCTAGGGGGAAATAGGAAAAGATAAAATATGCATTTCCTTGAAAAAACTATAATCACAAGTAAAACCCATAAAAAAAAAGCACCTTTGAGGTTTCAATAGCAACATAACATGGAAGAGAGGCATACCTCAAGTGATGAGGAGTCTTTGTAAGCAGGAGAACTAAGTAGCTGATTAGTTCCATTTTGAAGCGCCTTAATGTTATCATAAGTGCACTCAGACAGAGGTAATTGCCTATTGATCAGACAATGTCTTTTCAGCTTAGAATCCAAGAACATCCATTTTGAATGCTTCACTTCATGGAAATTGTAAAATGCAAAGACAATCTGCTTCCTAAAATCTTGAGAGCAAGAAAACTTGAACCTGATTGAAGTTACAGGCAACTGCAGATCAGCAAACTTCCCCTGCTCAGTAGGTTGATAAAATACCGTCAGGACCTGGAAAACAAAAGCTACAGCCTGTTTCAGGGAACCTTCAAACAAAAGAAACCTTAGCCCAACTTCATTATCAACAAAAAGGATCTCCAGATGAACCATTGGCCAGATAGTCATCACAGTACCACACTGAAGCAGGAACAAAGTATGAACCAGCGAAAAGCTCTCTGTTCCAAATAAGTTATTTGAGACAGAGAACACAGGGAAGCTCAACCCAAACCTGAATTGTTTTGTACGAAACAAAGAAATATTTAATCGTAACTGCCCTGCATTATCACTCAACAACAAATCTCCTTCAGGATCCAACCTTCCCAGACAAACATCAAGTTCTCCCAAATCCTGAAATTCATCAACAGAAGCTAGGGAATTTATAGATTCAGATACACTACTGGCAACACAATTGCCTTCAGAAGCCTGACACAATGCTTTCTCTGTCCTTCGAAACCGCCTTCTAAAATATACGATAGGATGTTTGCTGTCTTTGAGGCAACTGGTGCTACCCAAGGAAGAATCCTCAACCCTAATGCCATCAACTGGTCTGTCTGACAATGCAGAGGCACCAGACAATTTAATTTTGTCCATTCTCAATGAAACCCCGTAGAGACAACTGTTTTCATCCACCGCCTCATCACACAACATCGGTTGGCCCGGAGAACTATGAGATGAGGCAGTTGTTTTCTGTCTCTTCACAGCACGCAAAGGGCAGGATTTGACACGATGACTAGAGCGTGCCAACCAGGAGATAATTGGCTCGGAATCCATATAGCTCCCATTACCACTGTCATCTTCTGTCACGACATTTCTCTTCTCCTCCCTGTTGAGCTTCAAGTTCCTGATTCTATGATCAGAACACCTATTTCGCCGGGATCTTTTCCGCTCAGACTTGCTGGGAACTTCACTGGGAAAAAGCAAGAGTTTAAACCTCTCATTCTGTAAATTTATCCACTCCTCATCACGATCGTCATATTTTACATGGTGAAGCTTTCTCTCTTTGTCATACTCATTGACAAGGCCATAATACCAACTCTTGTCCAAAGGCCAAAACACCTTGATTCTTCTGTTCAACACCCAGTACGCATCCAAATCTCCAGAGTAAATTTCATAAAAATGGCGCCTTTTCCTCGAGTTGCCCTTCTCTTTATGACTTTTCCTTGGTCTCAACACTCTACCAGAAGCATCAACAGATGCAGATTCGGAACCAGACAAAGTCTTAGACCCAGAACTAGCATTCTGACCAGAAGATAAGAGAAAAGAAAATCCATTCTCAGATGGTGATACAGAGACTTTGCTGTTTGAAGAAAAGCCAGTACAGCTCGGGTCAAACCGTGATGATAACATCCTTGCTGCATTCTCTTCAAGATTCTCTTCATCATCTTCTTTCAAATCATCACATGTCTTAACAGAAGAACCAACTAAAATCTCAGCCTTCTTTGCAATACTTTTACCACCCTTCACCGAATCCTTCCTCTTCCTAGGATTCCTCTGTGATTTTTTTAACAAAGAGTCACCATCATTTACAGCTGAGTAAGCAGCAACACCATCTTCTTCCTTTAAATGCTGAACTAAACTTGACTCACTGTTTCTATTTTCCTTAAAATCATCAATAAACTTCTTCTGTTTAACCTTGGAAGACTCATTCTGAGTGCCAGAATCTTCACTGGTTAACTTCACTTCCTCTTTAACATCAACAACTGTACTACTAGATCGCCCTGCCAACTTCAACCTTTGACCACCCTCAAACTTGTTCCGCCCCACAAACCCACGTTTACGCCTTGGGATCCTAGTAACACTGTCACCCAAACTAAGTGAAATGCCATTAGCACCACAACCATTTTTTAATTTCTGACTCAAACCCAAATTCTTCAAACTATCCGAATCATGCAACCCCGTACTGAACCCCCCATTATACACTTCTGTTAAACTCTTGCTACTATTGCTACCATCAACGGTTCTAAAACTACTGAGAGGCAAAGCTTTCCTACTCTTCTTTCTCTTGTTATTATTACTAGTCCTCTTCTCATCATCACCTTCTTGAGAACTATCTTTCCTCTTCAAACCCTTATTTTTAGAAGATTCCTTAGAATCACCAGATTTATACAAACTCTTAAGATCCAAAGATCTTGATTTCTTAGGAATTTCCGCTCCATGAGAGTTTCCTATTCTATTTTCCATCAACAATCCCTCAATCCAAACAGGGAAACCCCAATCCCCCACTTTTCACATTCCCATCACACATTTTTCAGATCTGTAAAACCAAAATTCGCCAAAAAATCACGAAAAAAGAAAAAGATCCCTCAAATTTCCCATAAATTAACCGATCAATCCTCCACATCCATATATTCAAATAATTTCTTCAACAAATTAAACAATTAACAAAGAAAATCGCAATAAAATTAACTAGTTACCTGGATCGGTATATCAAATAACATCAATTTCTCCGCTGAATCGTGAATATCAAGAGTACGAGCGTCGCCTAGGGTTTGAATCTAGGGATTTCGATATGAAACCCTAATAGATTTGTCGATTTTTGAAATTAATTTCTCGATAATTTTTGTTTTCTGGAAATTCAATTTTTTTTCTTTTTTTTTTTTACCGTGTGGGACGGGACGAGAGCTAGGGTTTCTTTCGGTTTCACGAGATTAAGGTTTTAGATACGTGGCAAAATAACAAAAAAATAGGCAAAATAGGAAAAATAGAATTAATAACAAAAAAAATAAAAGAATTCCTAAAAAGTCAAAAAATAGGAAAAATAGGAAATATTTATCAGACTTTTCGATTTTGACACGTGGCGATACATTAACCCTCGGATTTAGAATGTGCGGTGGGATTTTATACGGATTACTCAAAGCTGCGGGATTCATTAATTGGGCTCGACATTTTCGGGGTAAACGAAGTGATGAACGAAGGGCCACGATTGGGTAATTGACAGGTGGACGGTAAGGATTTTGAATGAATTTGAGAGATGTGTGGTGGTTAAGCGGCTACATTTTGCTAAAATGGTAAATTTGAAGGAAAAAAGAAAAGGTTTTATCTCACTTTTCCATTTTCGTATCAGATAATTGACCCTAGTGTTATGGAAAAATAGCAAAAACGCCATCAAGATTTTAAGTTTGTAGGCGCCATTAAGGAAGTTAGAAAGCCACTCGCTAAAATGGAGAGTAAACACAACTCGCTTTAATTGTGAACACGTTGGCAGAAGAATCTGATCACTGCCACGTATCTGTACTTAAAACGGCGAGTTCATTGTCGTTGCGCCTTGTGCGTGCGAGGGAAAGCGGTGCTAAAAAAAGGTCGGAAACTGCACAACAGCGTACAAAGTGACGTGGTAAAACAAAAAAGTTAACAAAATTACGCTTCCATCCTTAAAATTTGCTATTAATCACAGGTTTGTCCAAGTTAAAAGTGTTAACTTCTCCCGCCATAAAACAAAATCAATAAACCATCCACAGTAGTATGTTTCGTAGCAAATGTTCCACGTTAGCTTCACCTTTGAAATTCCATTGGGTGGACAGTCCATCCCTTCAACTTACTAATTCGTATAAATTGATTAATTGATAATAACTGTCAATTACAGTCATTATCAATTTCCTAAATGATTTAGCATATTAAAAATATTTTTCTCAAATAACAAATAATGAATTTAATATATTTCATTTTAAAAAGTCACGTGATATTACATAATTATTTTTAATTATAAAAAATCTGAAAAAATTTTAATTTTTTAAATAAAAATAATAAAAAATACTTTTTAAACAACATAAAATAGTCAGCTATGAACTAATTGTAGAATATATGAGCAATAGATTCTTTAGAGTTAATTGGTTTTTTCAAAAACATCTTTTATCATTTGACTCAATCTACACCAATGGATAATATACATATATATATATATACACACATGCAAGAGTACCTTTAAAAATATATTAAATATAAAGTTGGTTAAATTCGTTTTCAATTTTTTTTAACCAAATCAATTAAGTTTAACTGATTTAACCTAATTTTTTAACTAACTTAATCACCTTAACTGAATTAATTAGTCCAAATTAATCAAACTTTTTCAATTAATTCAGTTTTAACCGACTTTTATTTATCCCGAATTACACGATCATTTTCAACAACCAACATAAGATAAATTAATTTGTTGAATAAAAAATAATGAAACATTACTTTTAAACAACAACAAAAATAGCAAAGTAGATTCAAATACATTCTTATATAATATTTCATATTTGTTAGAATAGTAAATAAAATAATACTATTTGATCCAACACTTTTGTCCCTGCTGATGTGACAAAATTTCATTAGATAAATTTAAAAATAATATCTACCAATTTATGGTAAAGCAATTTATTCATAAATATGATGTTTAAAATTAAATCAATAAAATTTTTCCGTATTAAGAGAGCCAAATAATATTGAAAAAATATAGCACCCACGAGTTTTTTCTTAGTAAATATTTACTAATTTTGTATAATTATAATCATTCTTACATTTAATTAGATGTTAAAAATCATGTAACAAATATATGTAGGCATTATATCTAAATAAGTTTCTACACTTTTATCGCATTCAATCAAATTTTTATACTTTTATTTTGAGTCAAATATATTTTTATATTTTTATTTGGTTGTCAAATAAATAGTTAAAATTAATAGTTGATTTAACTAAAATATTACTTGTCATTCAATGTCATACGACATTAACATAGCATGTTGACATATTATAATAAAAGAGAACGTGATATGTTGATGTGGTATGATTATATGGTCATTTCGTATTTTTTACCTTTCATATCAATACCAAGTCAACGTCATATAATTATATAATAACAATGAATAATTTAAATTATTAATCATAAGTGTTTATTTGAATCAAAATAAAAGTACATGATTTAATTAAACGTAATAAAATATAAAAAAAATTAAATTTTTTAAAAATAGTTTAGGAGCTTTTTTGAACATGGTATCATATTTATATTACACATGAAGAAGTATTAGTTGAAATTAAATTAAACCCACTCCATTTTTTATAATTTAAATTAAGTCTAAAATATAAAATGATATTCTTTTTATGTGTTCAGCAATTACGAAGAGTCTTTTGCTGCATGGTGCTTATATGGATTAAATTAGTCACATGTCAAATATGAAAATACAGAACATGATTTTTTTTTTTTTGGAAATAAAATACTTGACATGAATTATTTAGATTATACCACTAAGATTAAACCAAGAGAATCATTGTGCATGATGCTTATATGGTTTCAATTAGTCATAAACATTGAAATACTTTACATGGTCCTTTTTTTTTTTGATAAAATACTTGACATGAATTATTGAGATTATAGAATAATAGAGAGGATAAAATTTAAAGAGCTAAATAGTAAACGAAATTTTTTTTCGTTTCAATTTCACTCTAAAAATATATTTACTTAAATAAAAAAATCTTTTCACAAATCATAAGCATTTATATTGATCTTGATCTAAATCTAATGCATTTAATTGCTTCTCCTATTAAAATTCGAGTATATACAACAACAATTTTATTCCTAATAAAGGCTGATTTGATAAAATAGATTTTCAGATCTCTCTAATTTGAGGTAAGAATTAATTTCCGCCATATCTCTAATTTTTGCTTAATTAATAAGAAAATCTTGAAAATTAAGTTTTTAACCTTTACATCTTAATTGTTTTCCCTTGAGAATCAAATGTTGGTTTGGAGATTTTGATTTTTTTTTTAATTGAGGAGGTTAATACCAAAAATGCATGTAAAAATGGCACAATCATCATTTAGGATAAGGATGGCAATGATTTAGTTTTATTCCTGTACTCGGCTTGATTATGATATACATGCAGTGATTTTTTTAATAAGTATTTGAAAACAACATTTTAAAAGGTTATGTATTATTATTATTATTCAATTTTCAACTTGTAATTTTATGTCAATTTTATAAATTAGAAAAAAAAATGCAATATATTTGTGTTAAAAAATAGTGCATTGGATTTCCTTTTAATTGATTAATGTTGAAAAAGTCTTTTTTTTATTGCATTTGTATTTCATAATGTATTATTCGCGTCCAATTCATTTTGTTCCATTTTCATTTAATTCAAAGAAAATGCTTTTTTTTATAAGATTAAAACTATACAAAAAAAAAAATCTAAGTGCATCTTTATAGTTAATTTTTAGCTTCTCCCCTGTGTTTCTCCGCCTTCTCTCTTTTCCTTTTCACATTTTTTTTCATCTTTTTATCCAATTTTTACAACTCTTTTTCGTTTTTTACTTTTTTACCTTTGGCTTTGTTTGTTTGTTTTGATATTTTTTCATTGTTTTGTTTGGTCTTTGATTTGTTCAACCACTTTTTTTGGTTTCTTTATTTTTTTATTTTAATTTGTGATTTGTATTTTTTTTTTTTTTGCATTTCGGTTTCATTATTGTATGAATCTTTCTTTGTTTTGTGGCTTTCATTTTGTTTTGATTCATGATTTTTGTGTTGCTTTGGTTTGATTGTGTTAATTTGCTTTATGTTTTGATTCTTTACGAAATTGTATTTTGCCTTTGATTTTTTCATTTCATATGCTCATAATTTGATTTTTTTTCCTACAGATTTTATTGTTCGACTTCTATTTTGTTGTTATTTTCTAAGTTTGATTTTTCTTTTATTTATTCTTATGTAGTTTTTATTTATGTATGCTTTTGTTTAAAAGTTTTTTTATTTATTCTTACTCAAACCTTTTTAAAGGGTTCTTATATTTTTGGGAAGCCATGGCATTTCCGTCTGTTCCTAATGCCATGGATCTAGAATTTTTTCTTTCTCTTTGTTTCACCTCTTGTTTAGATGAAGAATTTAGAGAAAGAATGAAATAATGCAGTGAGGAAAGAGGAAAGAGGAGAGAAGAGAAATGAGAGATATCGTAAAAGTCAAAATACAAATATAAATTCAAATTTTTGATTTTTTAATTGATTAAACAGATTAAACAGAGATAAACTGACATCTCTCTCTCGTATTTTTCTTCTTTCTTCTTTATCTTCTTTCCTTCCCTATTGTTTTACTTTTTAATTATTTATTTGATTTACTTAATTTCAATTTATGAAATTAGTTTAAAAAATAGTAACAATAAAAATAAATTAATTAAATAATTAATTAATTCCATGTTTTTCTATTTATCTAATTTTTATTATTTAGGTTTTTATTATTTTTTTATAATATTATTACTTCTATTAATCCGAAACTTTTGGTGTAAGTTTCTAAGTTTCTCTTTTTTTATCTCATTTCATTTGTTTATTCAAGCTTTTATTATTTGGATTCTTTATTACTTTTATTTTTATTCAAGCTTTTAATTCAAGTGATGGGCTTGATTTAGGGAATTTTAATAGTTTGTGACTTTACTAAAACAATTTCATTTTATGTCTTGTTGTTAATATAATTAATTATTGACTAATTCTTTTGATATCATTTCAAATGCTTAAATTGAATTAAAAGGAACAGTAGTTAAGCACTTGAAAAATAATAGAATTATGAATATTATGTGAAGTAAAATGAAGAATGATTGCATTTGTGTTATTTTGTGTTTTGATAATATTGAGAGGAATTTGTTTTACGATTTTGTTGTATGATTAAGTTATTTTTGGAATCTTAAGTTTATAATTTAATCA